CAGCTGATAAGTAATTATGTGCCCCTTAGCAGTTTTGACAACACAGTCACATTTGTTCTTATTTTTTCAACAATGCCATGCTACCGTGTCTAGATAAGGCATATATTTTACTATACAGATGGTAAAAAACTGAGTCGCATGGTAAGTGTTTTATTCAAGGTTGCAAAACTTAAAAAGGCAAATCCATCAGTCCAGTGATGGTCCTCATTTTAAGAAACTAACTCCACAATGCCATCTTTCCCGTATTGTTTTGGAAAGTGGGACCACCACCCAACTAAGCTTAAAACTATGAAAATGTTTATAAGAACATACCTAAACACAACCTGCCTGTACTCATTTTTGGTCTTCTCTACCACTCATCCAAAAAGAGAGTTCTCTGCAGCAGCTCATCAACACAATGCATTCTCTTCCAGTAGTAATTTGATTTGGTGAACTATTTTTCTTCATTTGGGGTACATATTCATATACTGGAAAGCAAATCAGGTGCCCAGCACTAACTCCCCCCTGAAAATTAATTCTTAGTACTTCTGGCAAAGTTTCCAATTGAAAGTGCTTTGCTTTTGACCACTTGATAGACAAGACAGTGCTTTCTACCAGTGATCCCACATCCAGAATTTTATGAATACTAAGGTAGCTTTCTTGAATTATTGGCCTCTTTCTTCCTGCACTCTACTATTTTTAAATTTTTATTTCTGTTCACTTGGACTTATTAAAAGTAAACTGTATTTTAGAAGAATTTTAGTTTTACAGAAAAGTTGCAGTGATAATACAGAAAGTTCCCATATATTTCATGCCTAGCTTCCTCTATTATTAACATCTTATATTAGCATGGTACATTCTTCACAATTAATGAACCAATATTGATGATAAAGGGTGATTATGAAGATGATGATGATTTACACCATTTATGTAGGAGTGGTAAGGTTCTAGAAGAACAAGTGGGTTGAGAGATATCATTGCGACCATCTTTGGAAAAACAATGTGTCAATGTGAGGTATAAGCAGATATGAATCTTCTGGTTTTCCCTACTGCCCCTTTAAAACTACTCTGTGAATTCACTGGATCTTGAATTAAATTGCATTCTAATCCCATATCTTTTTAGTGCCTCTCTCTCTGCAGGAGAATTATACATTCCTGTCCTGAGGAACTCGGGTGTATGATTTAAACAAAAGTGATATTTTGTCATTTCAGGACAGAACCTTTAACAGCCAGCATAGGGCTCACCATATTTTCCTTTCCCTTCATCATGGTAACAAGTAATGTTACAGAGAGTGGCCACTCCCTCAGCCTGGGTACCAGAGTGAAACAGAGCCACAGTCAGGCTACAATAGATGTGCTCTAGCATACTGCTTAGGATGTAAGGGGTACATAGCATGTGTTACATGGTTCTGAACTCTTGGGCCTCTCTAAAACACTAGGAGTTTCAATGATCAGAAACAGAAGGTCTTATTTTAACATCCCTTTTTTACTGTTCTACTAAGAGTTGTCTTTCTCAGGGTTTACATGTATGGAAATATTTTACAAAATTTTGACCTACAGGGTTGTTTTGAAAATCAATGTTAATGTATGGACAGGGACATATCTGTATAAATTTAGGACCACAAGAATGTGGCATATCATAAATCACTGAATTTCTGTGTTCCTTGATTTTCTGGCAAGTGGAAATGCCCTATTTTAAAGAGGTGTTAAAATATGAAGTATGTATGGACTATATCAATCAACACATTTTAGGGCACTATATTTGGCCGCTTTGATACAGATACTACTATTTTAAGGGATCTTTTTCATAGCTTCATGCTGTAGCCCCCAATGCTAAGGGACGCATGTATAACCAACATGTCAAATAGATGACAAAACTGTGGCTCAGTCTCAGTCCTTCTGCCTTCTACCCTGTTTGGCATAAATATATACCTGCTGCCGTTATAGATGGATATTATTTAATCACTTTTTCTACATCCTTCTCTGTAACAGTAGGATAAGATGAAGGATAAAGGAAGTTATGTGTCTTACCTAAAATCATTGAGAATCTGAAACCAGAACAAGGTAAATGCTTCATCTCTCCCTTTCCTTCTCATTACTTTTCTTTTTTTTTTTTCTTTCCATTTCAACAAGGAACTGCAATACTGTCATAGTTTTTTTCTCCATTATAGGTGTTCGCTTGGTGGAAAATAATGTACTTTCAGTGTGTTCATGAGCAGCAGATAAGATTAACACTATATAACTAGGCATTTCTGTACTGCTCACAGGAGGTGATGTTTCTGTGAGAATAATTGGGATAATAGAATGCTCCATTTTTAGCGAATGGTGGTGGCAGTAAGTATTCACCAGAGAAAGCAGTAAGAAAATGATCTACATGACTCTGGAAATCACCATCCCTTTATTATTGTTAATAAGCATAGATGATTGACCCTATTCTTTGTTCAGAAAGTTCTCTCAAATGCAAGTGGGCTGTATATACTTCCCCCTCCAGACTGTGAACTTCATGAATGCAGGTTTCATGCCTGCCTTTTGTATCCCTAAACAAAAAGTTTAAACAAAAAGTTTTGTATCCCTAAAAACAAAGTTTATTTTAAGTGATCATTAAATATTATTTGAATAACAGACTAAAGGGATGAATGCCATACATAGACCCAGCCTTTTACCTTTTTTCCAGAGAATTTTATACATGCAAGTAGGCTCTTGTCCTACTTGCAGTCACTGCATTCAGTTACTGCATTCAGTCACTGCATTCAGCTGAATCTCCAGAATCTTTGTGTGTGTAGGGTCATCTGTTTTATCTCTGGAAGTGGTTCCTTATGGTCTGGTGGTCTATGAACTAAGAAAGAATTAATTATCTGATCTCCACTTTCATATAATTGATAGTAGAGAAGGGACATGATAACCACCGTGATAAATAGGAATACTTATTCCTATTTAGAAAAGACTAGAAGGTACACAAAAGTCAATTGGGCCATAGCAATGCTGGTATCGTGCTACACAGGCATTATAAAGGATCCTTACCCTTTGATTCAGTCTTAATTCTGCTCTCTGGAAGGATATCCCTTGAACATTGTCCTTTGAGGTCTTTGTCTTGGTCATTTAGATCTCATTCCATTTCTTTGTTCTGTTTGTGAAAAGGGATATTTAGCTTTTATAGCTCACTTCTTGAAGAACTAAGCCTTGTTATTTCTAATACTGCCATATTATTTTATGTTTTATTTTGGTTTGCACTTTTTATATCAATTTTACTGAGGAATAATGTATAATAAGGGCAGGTATTATAGTTCAGGTCAATGAGCTTTGACAAGTATATACACCACCTCAGTCAAGACATAGAATATGTCTTTTATCCAAAATAGTCCCTGTGTCTCTTTGAGTCTTTGCTCTCAATTACCACCCCATCCCAGTCCCTAAGCATCGCTGATATGCTGTCCTAAACATAACTTTGTCCTAGAATTTCATCAACTATTCAGCTAGTGTTCAAATTTCTAATTGTCATATCAATGTCATAATGTTCAGATTGTTTGGTTCAAGATTCAAATAAGAATCACATATGGAAAATGACTGCTGGAAAATTTCTTTCTCTTTCTACCATATTTTGCTGTGTATAATACGCACATTTTTGCCCAAATTTTTGAGGGAAACGAGTGTGCCAATTCCATATCGATATGAATGTTTTTCATTCTTTTATGCTTATGCATGAAAAGTGTAACTCCTTTATAATTCTTTTAAAATACAAAAATTTACAGTTCTTTTATAAAACAAAAAACAAGTATCTAAATGTAAATAAATAAGAAATTGAATTAAAAAATTAAAACTAAAGACTTTTTTACTGAAAGTTTAGGCCAAAACCATGGGTACGTATTATATATGGTGGGGGCACATTGTACATGGTAAAATACTGTAATTTGTTGCATAATCTGGTCATTTTTCTTGAAGATTTTCTGACAGTCTAGATCTTGCTGATTGCATTGAGTGTTAACATGTTCCTTTGTCCATATTTACAATAGCTGGGTTTTTTTTAAAGACTTGATCTTATTCAGATTTGACATTTTGGCCTCATGTATTTTTGAGTTTGTCTTTTAGAGCATTCAGAAACAACATTCTTTTGGTGGTAACAGATTACTGCAGAAGCAAAATAGTGAGTTTAATGGCTCATGCAATGATATTTTCAGGGCATATCGTGGATTCAGGCCCTATATCATAAAATCATGTATCACTTTTTTCTCCCTTTCTGCTTGATTCTGGTCTCATCTGTTTTGGTTCCATTCTCTTGACTCTTCTCAGGTTCAAGTCCATAGGAAATAAGTTGCTTTCTGGTGGTTCAGTTTCATGTCACTGGCACTGACTGATCCACCTGGTTTAGGTCACATGTCCATGTGAACTAATTAACGGCACTAAGGAAATAGGGAATTGTGATTGGACAAGTGAGAGCGCCAAGGTGGAGGTGGTCTAACTAGAACCACATGGACTATTTGTTACTGAATTTAAAGAAACTTTTCATCCTCTACAATCATACTTTGGTTTACAGATACAAACTTAAACATTGACTAAAGCAACCTTCTACTATATAATCTTTACATGCAGCAACCTTTATTTATAAAAAAAAATACTTTCACTGAAGTGAAGGAGTGATTACAAATGTTTTGGGTAATAGAGCTTGAAGGAAGATCCCTTAGAAACGTTCCCAACATTTCTTTTTACTAGGTCAGTGGCCACCTACTGTCTCTTGTCTGAGAGGTCAGGAATGGTAAAGCTAAGTTGTAATAAGGGAAAGAGTTCAGGGACAACGAAGAATGGGTGTGAGGGTGGAGGGCTGATCTTGGCGCATAAAGAAAATGTGCATTTTTAAGGGGTGGGTGACCCCTTTCCAGAGGCTACCTCACGTTAGCTTCTGGAAAAGCTCAGAAGTTTAACTTGGTTTACTGTACCAAGTTGTTAAGGCGAACTTTAGACTATTAGTGGTTACCAACAAACGCGGTCAAATGGCCAACAAAATCCGATTTCTCCACTCCTGGCAGGTACACAGCATCCTCCTGTCTGGGAGCCAGCTAGTAGGTTGCAACCAGAGCCACGCCCCTCCCTGCGACCAACTCCGCATTGTGTCACTTCCGGCCCTTGGCTGGGTGCATCCGGGTCAGACTGCGCCTGTAGCTCTCGGAGTGCGGTGGAGGTTTCGCGCTGTCCGCTTTCTCCCTTCCCTGTGTGACCAAGCCGCAGTGTCCACCGGGGAGAAGTGACCCACTCTGCCCAGGAGAGAGAAAGACGAGGAGACCTAGGATCGTCGGACGCCGGGCTGGGCCGCTGTGGTACGGGCTGGAGACTTTGCTCCTACGCTTGCTGCTGTCTCTGTGAACCGGGTGCCAGCACTGAGGAGTCTTCAGGGGACAGTAACTCCCTTCCCCGGCTGCCCTGCCCGCCCTGCTGGGGAGGGCGGAAGATGCCGGTGAAGAAGAAGAGAAAATCCTCTGGGGTGGCATCAGCAGTGGCGGAAGACGGAGGCCTCAAAAAGTGTAAAATCTCCAGGTACCTCCTTCCCCCACCCTTCAATCTTTCCTCTATTGCTGGGTGGCTAGAGGAGAATGAGGTGGGCTGGGTCTTAGAGGCTTGAGCTGGGGAGAGGTGACTGCCCCGCACCCGTAATAAAGCTAAATGGTAGACGAAGAACACCGTGAGGAGTGTCTGCGTCGGACTACACCTCGTGTTCGGTGCGTGTGCTCTGTGCGTGCGCCTGTGGAGGGACGAGCCCAGTCTCCTCGCCTTAGAGTCTCCGTGCCCTGGAGTCTGGAGGATGGGGAAACTGGGATGCGTACGTAAATTGCGCTTTCCCCTTACCCTACTCCCTTAACCCCTCCTCCACCTTCTTTCCAAACCGAGCCACAGAAGGGGGTCACTTTTAAAATTTCTTCGTAGAGTGTGGAAGAGGAGCAGGACGTGAGATATCTTGACCTGACAGCTTCCATGGGAATGATAGAAAGGAAAGCGTCGCATGTTGTAATTGGCTCCAGACTTAGTAGTCTAACCTGGAGGATCCAGTGTTTTAAATTTCAGGAGCCCATTTTCTGGAAGTATAGTGCCTCCAACTTGCTCCATGTCCCTATGTGCCGAATTGGGAAGGCCCTCCATGCGTTTAATTTTCTAGTATTCAGAATACTGTTAGCTCTCAACGTAAATATTAATAATTGAGAGCTATTGTACTCTGTCCTCTTGGAGAAAAAGAAAACAAAGCAGAGCTCTAGATAGAGTTCTTCGATCCCATTGTAGCATGTCATTGAGGCCTTACAGCAACACTGTGTGCTGCAAAGAATTATTGCAATTTAGGTGTAAGAAGTGGATTTTTGAAATCTCCTATAGAGTGTCTTCGACTGTATCTGTGGTTGGCACTTGGTATGACAACTTCAGATTTGGTATACCAAAACTTCAGATTTATTTCTTAATAAATTAAAAGAAGACTGTAGCCAGCGTTATAAAGGGGAGATAATGCTAGAACTCGCCTTAAAGATCTGCTTAAAATGTGAGGAAGGTAACTTCTTTAGTCTGCATCTTCATGTTTGTAATTGATTCGGGTTTGTTTGTTTTTTTCCCCATTCATTATACTGTTTGGGAAGACAGCCTAAATATATTTCTAGAACTTGATAAGGTTACTCCACTATCTCAAAATATTGTGAAACATGCAGATAAGTTTTGTATTATTTTAGATACCTTCAGCATATAATGTATCAAAATTATTTAAATTAAACACTTTAAAAATAGTTGAGCAGTCAGAACTCAGGTGATACTTTGCTATCAACTTAAACTTTTAAATGTGGTACCCTTATTTTACATTGCATTACTCAATTGCAGAAGTTACAGCATTTCTATGTTGTGATATAGTGCAACTATTTCAGGTCCTGGAGAAAAGATTCTCTGAAGTTCATTATATCCTAAAGGCAACTTTTCAGCTTTAAATCGCTTTATGGAAAAGATAAATAGAATTGGATTAAAGACCTTGGCCCAATTATTTGTACTGTTATCTTTTAGGGGGTTGTTGTTTTTTAATTGGTGGAATTTAATTATACCCTTAGGTCTTAAATCATCTTTTACCATTAAATAGCTATTTAATCTTGGTAGATGATAAACAACCCTAAATATGTAGTTTTACTTTGAAATATTGACAGATTATTAAAATATACTTTGCAAGATTTTGTTTTCAAACATATGTCTATTGTATACAAGTATAAATTACATGGGATTCAGAAGAATCATTGTAAAGATTTATAACTTTCCCAGCTACCAGACTCTGCACTGAAACCATTAGGTTAGACTTCTGTGTGGTCTTTTGAAATGTGGGAAAATAATTTTTGTTGCTATATTTAGAATTTGATAGTGAGCAAAGTAGAATTTGGGTTTTGTTAGCTACAAGTTTTTTATGTGTAGACTACTGTATTAAATTGCAAATATTTAACTCCACTATTTTCCCCATAACACAAGCTGTTAAAAAAAAACTTGGTTTAGTTTGAATTGACATAGTTCATGTTGAACTTAGATTTTCACTAAAAGTTGAGACAATAAATTCTTAGGCATTTGTGTGTTTTCTAAGCTATTGCAGATCCCAACCCCCTGCTAGACTAATAAGTGGAGAGGAACATTTTTCAAGCAAGAAGTGCCTGGCTTGGTTTTATGAGTATGCAGGTAATGAAAATAATATAAGAAGATATCAGTCACATGCTTTCAAACTTTTTTTTTGGTTCATTTATTTAACAGATTATTTATTTCAGCCTTCTGTGTGTTAGTGCTGTGCACTGGGATCAGGGTCAAGACTAAGGATTGTGGGTAGGCTAAGAATTTGGTGCCATTTTAGGCTTGGTCTTTAAATATATAATTCAGTGTATATTTAGTGAGAGGGGTGAAACTCATTTACTATTAATACAATTTGTAAACAGACAGATTCACTTCTTGGTTTACTTACATTCATTGGCTAAAGTAGAGGTGGTATTCTGTAAAACATAAAGTATGTGATAAAACATTTTATACTATACATAGTCCTTTTTTTTCTTTTCAATATTCTTTTGAAATTTTTTGAACCAGAAATTGACTTTTTCTGAAACTTGGGAGGCATTGTAAAAGATTTAAAACTCAGGCATATCATCACATAACACATCTTTTAATAATTGCTATTTAGGCACTATTATGAGAGATATAATAAATAAAAAATAAATGGATACTAATACAGTGTGATAAATAATGTATTAGGACAATGCACTATGAAATTTCCTGGGAGAACTATGTAACCCAGCCTTGAAAGTATCAGGGACAGCTTCCTGAAGAAGCTAACAAACTAAATCCTGTAAGTGGTATATGTAAGTAAAGCTTTTGGCCTAGGGTGGAGGTGAAAATCAAAGTCAAGGATGAAACTGAAGTGTTAAGCAAATAATATGAAAAAGAACGTTTGTTTCCCATTTATTAGTAATGTCTTCATAAGCATATATGAAATTTTCCCCCATTGCAATGCTTTTGGTCTCACTGATTTTAAAAGCTCTTTTTTCTCATCTTGTTTCTTTTCTTTTACCTCTTTTTTCCCCTCTTGTGTCATCATTCTAAGTGTTTGTTTAAAATAAAACAGTGTATATGCAGTCATTGTATTATATGTAGTGTAATCAAGTTAAGGCTTCAAGTGTACTCTGAACTTGAAATGTAAGTTTAGGCTAACCGTAAGGCTATGGAGGGAGATGGGGCAATATCTTCACTGTTGGGATTCCAAAAGTATAATTTAAAATTTGTTTAGTAACAGAACAGATTCTTTCTAGACCAGAAAAACTGCTATTACTGGCATCCCAAGACAACCACTAACCCAAATTAAATAAAGGGAATTCATTTTATTATTGACCTCCCTTTAAAATGTTGACCCATTATTCAGAATGCCCATTTTATTGTAATGCATGATGTAGAATCAAAAGGTGGCTTATGTTATTTTACTTATAAAGGTCACTAGATATCATAAATTTAGTCTTTTTTTCCCCCATTTATGCTTACTTGCTTTACCTCTCCTAGGGGACTTTCCTGGCTAGCGTAATATTATAATTAGTTAAACAATTGTTTCCTGTACTAGCATTTTTGTAGTAGCTAGCATAATAATTGCTATCTTTATTTTAAAACTATGTTAATTATATAACTTTTTCCTAATGACCATTCTGTTAAGTAAAGAGTGTTATCCCTGTTCCATAGATGAGAAAAGTGATGTTTAGATTAAGTAATTTGCTTAAGATAACACATGCAAAGCATGTATCACAGTACCTAGTATATAATCAGAATTCAGTAACTGTTAGCTATTATTAAAAGAGTAACAATATCATATCATCAGATTTACTGATTGTATATGTTTGCAATACTGTTTCAGAATTACCAGTGTAGCTCCTATGTAGCTCATGTTGAAGATGCTGTGTCATTCATGTAGTTTAGTTTTTTTCCTGATCATCTGCAATGGCTGTCATGGTTTTAGGCTCAATGGTCATAGCTGAGAACATTTCTTTATGGTTACTAAAAATTACTTTTCTGATTTTTTTGTTTGAAAACATTTTACCAGTAACCTTGTTAATATATTAATAAGTCATATGTGATAAGTCTAATGGTTTGTCATTTAACAAGACCTTTCATCTTGACTGATATTTAAATTAGCAAAGATTTGGTAATATGCTGGGCCTATTACTGAACAAAAACATGGAAAATGAAAGGTACTTTGAAAGTTTTGTAAAGAATCAAAAATAGGGATAGAATTGCAGCACTAATAAAGTATCCAGCTGGTAAACTAAATCATTTTCATAGCTTCTTCAATTGATTGGAAACCTGTTTTTGTCTAAAAGTTAGTTAAATTCAGCTCCCTGGTAGTAGTTTATTGGAAGAGTATGTTTTAAGAAGAACCAGTAACATGCAATCTAGGAAAAGAACATTGGTATAAACCTTGTTTTAGATTTAGATCTGTTAGTATTTGCATTACTTTGGGAAAGTCACTTAACATTTACAGAGAGTTCTTATATGTATATTATATATGTTATATGTTTTAGTATATTATATATTTTAGTATATATTTTAACTTGGTTTTAGTCTAATTTGATCACTAATCTCACAGTATCTAGAGAGGCTATAACAGTAACTGGTATTTCTGGACATACTTTCCAGCTTTCTCTTCTAATTACTAATGATGGCAGCTTCAAGGGCAAGTCAACTTACTGAGTAGAAAAATTCAGAATATATTCCTTTTGTGCCTTTAAAAAACCTTTGTTCTATTAATTTTTTTATCTGATGTCAATTTCATCCAAACCACATATAACATTAAAGATACATATTCAGATATATTTTAATAGCATTATTATACATGTGTGCTTTTTAAATTACTTAACACATTCTCATTTAAAAAGAAAAAATCCTCCAGGTGTATATTGGGAAGTGAAAGCTTTCTATAATTGTCACCCCTTCCCCTTTTAATGCCTCTTTGTGTAAATAAGTGCAGTACTTACTTAAACCAACAAATTTAAAATGGGTTTTGGTTCATACCACATTGTCTTAGCAGCCTGGATCTCATTTGAAACTTTAAGATTATATTGGTCACATACTGGCTGGCTACCTTCTTCTATTAAGAAAAACCTTGAGGACATTAACTTCATGTTGCACTTGTGAACTAATGATAGTGATATAAAATGCCACCAGAGCAGCTTTGGTTTAGTCTATAATTTATAAAGTTGGAGTAGTTTTAGTCCTTGAGAAAGGAAAACAAATTTGACTTGGCTAATTTAACAATAATATTTCAAAACTATATTCAAAGCCAAGTGTGATAAACATATTTCTATTACATTTCATGCTGATTTTGTCTTTTTAAATTGAGATATAACATTAGTTTCAGTTACACAACATAATTGAATCATTTAATTCAATCATATGTGAATCATAATTGAATCACAACATATATTGAATCATTAATTCAATATATGTATATATTGGAAACTGATCACCAAAATAATTCTAGTTAACATCTATCACCTCATACAGTTACAAAAACATTTTTTTATGATGAGATCTTCTAAGATCTACATTTTTAGTGACTTTCAAGTTCAATACAGTATTATTAACTATAGTGACTTTACTATACATTATATCCCAGGACTTACGTAACCGGAAGCTTGGACCTTTGACTACCGTCACCCATTTTGTCTACCCTGCACTCCCACCTCTGGCAACCACCAATCTGTTCTCTGTATTTATGAGTTCAGTTTTTGGGGTTGTGGGTTTTTTGGTTTTTTTTTAGTGTATAGTTCACATATAAATTTATCATTCATACGGTATTTGTCTTTTGCTCTCTGACTTACTTCACTTAGCATAATGCCCTCACGGTCCATCTATGTTGCCACAAATTTGTTTTAATCTTACCTGGTCACAAAAAGAACCTAGCAATAATGTAATTGCTGTATTTCTGGATATATGATAACAAAATATATGAGAATTGGTGCATTGACTTACATTTAGTATTACTGAGAGAGAAAAATAAGAAACAGGTATTGTTAATTTTTGGACAAATGATAGCCAAGTTAACTGAAGGATTAAACATTTGTTTCTACATTGAAGTGACATAATTAATGCTTTACTGTCTATTTGAGATCCAAGATGATAAGGAAACTATGTCATTCTAGAATTAGAATATAGTAATTTCCTTAAGGCATCATTTTTATAATATGTATATCTTTTTATCAAAGTTTTTATTTGGGTATATTCAAAAGGGTAATGGATGGCCTTCTGTTTTAATAATTAAAAAGATATTCTCTGATTATTATCTTAAATTGTGTATCTGTACTGGCACATTCTAGTGGAGTAAGAAGTTCAAACTTTCTTAGGTTTCTTTATGCATTGACAAAATTTTCATTAAAGAAGGCTCTCTCAGTTAATATTTTACAATGGATATTAGAGCTGCTTCATTTTTTATTTCCTTAATTTTATTTTATAATGAAGTATTTAAAGAACATTTCAAAAGTTTTAAATTTTAATTTTTATAGCAAATATTATAAAAAATATGTCAAAATTCAAATTTAGTTATATATGGAAATGTTATGGTATATTCATAGATACCTTTAGCACAATGGCTTATGTTTTATATTGATATTAAATTACAGCAATAAAATATATAAATTATTTTTGTCTTTGAAGGTCCTGATGAAGTTGTAGGGCCAGAAGGAATGGAAAAATTTTGTGAAGACATTGGTGTTGAACCTGAAAATGTATGTTTTATTTCTGAGTAGAATGGGATACAAGTGGGGTATAGCACATTCATAAATTTCTAAAAATTGAGACACTTTAATTTTATATGAAGATTTTGTGTCTTCACATCTGTCATTGTAGATTTTTATTTAGGATACTTTCAATCAATTTAAATTGGTCATGAGCTCTCTTGATAGAAGTATCATTTGTAATAGAGTTGACGGTGATTCTATCTTCAGAAACTGTTAGAACTTTTTACTTTTAAGAAATTTACTCATCTAAATTTCTTTATAGTTAATAATTCCAAAGGTTGTTTTCTTTACTATTTGGAAGATATAAATAGTTGTATTAAAATGCTCTCCATGATAAATATAGACATGATTATCTCTATGCTGACTTTTCCCCTATCCTTTATGTTCTGTTCTTTCCAGATTATTATGTTAGTTTTAGCGTGGAAATTGGAGGCTGAAAGCATGGGATTTTTTACCAAGGAAGAATGGTTAAAGGGAATGACTTCATTACAGTAAGATATTTTTTTAAAAAACAAATATGATGGGCTGTTTGAAGATCTTAATATTTTGTGCTTTGTAATTTTCAGGAGTAAGGTTTCATTTCATATAATCAAATTGACAGAATTCATATTTTGGTTTGACAAAATGAACAGTTACCCCATTTTTCATATTGTCTAAGAAAGAACCTCAGTACAGTCCTATTAAAATTTATTGACTCTTTTGGTGGATGAATTAGAGGTCCATGATGAATGTTTTTTTTGCTCACAGGTCATTTGGGCAATAAAGGATTTTCTCCTTTGAATATAGAATTCTAATATGTAAAGAGTTTTGGGAGGGCAGTGCTAAACTTTGGGGTTTCCTCTGTCTCCTCTTAAATTTTATACTTGATCTAAAAATGAAATTTGGAGATAGAGTTGTATGGCACTTTCATTAATTCTTTTTGGCCAAATAAATCTCATAAAGAACAAAAGTAATGCTGTATGGCTCCTCTGCAACTTATAGCTATTTTACAGTAGTATTAGCATGCTTATATACTTTCATAAGCAATAGAATTGCTTCTGTATAAAAATAATTTGATTTTGGCTTTCCAGATTAAAGTAGGCTTAGTTTCAGAATCAGTTAGTAATACATGTAATTTTTTATTGTGCTTCCAGTGTTCATGCAGGATGTTACTAATTATCAACATCCTAAAATAGAGGGATCATTAATTTATAATATTTTTGATCCCCAAACTGAGCATTTATTAGCCACATAGTTTCCTGTTCTGAGTATGCTTTTATTAACACATTTAACTATTCTTTACTCCTTTTTGCTTGTCTTTAAATTTCAAAGTACTTGATTATTTTCAAGTATATTTGTTCATATAAAACTTAAATTTTCCCATTTGAATTTTTAGTGTCTAATGTTTTGTAATTCTCCTATTTTAACCAGCATTAATATACTGATTAGGTAAAAACCTTGCTCATGTGTAACCAAATAATAATTTCTAGAACAGAATATAAAATTAACCCTCGCACTTTCATTATGTGTAGGTGAGATAATGCATCTGAGATTCAGAGAGGTGAAGAAAATATTTGCTGAAGTTTACATAGCTCCTTTATGGCAGAGCCGGGACCTAGAATTTAAATTGCATGTTGCATGATTACCGGTCTACCATACTGTACTTTCATTTGTACATTCATTTGTATTGGTGTTAGCATTCTTTATAAAACAGAAAGCCATTATTAACTTTTTAAATCATAGTATTTATCGCCAAGACTGAATTTTGTCATTTATCAAGGTGTCGTAAAATACTGTATTAAAATAATGTTGATTCTGAAATTTTTTGCCTATTTCCCACCTTTAATTTACTTTATGGAGAAAGATAAAATACATATACAAAAAAGAATATGCAAAGAATATAAACTAGTTTTCACATAGCTCAGGCCTGTTCTATTGAAATGTGTATCAGTTTTAATACGGCTTATTTAGCATTATAACTGCTTTTTGTAGTACTGTTAACTGCTTTTATTGTAGATTTTTAAAAATATTCCAACTAACAAGTCTTGGTATATTTTTAAAACAAATAGTTTTTAATTTATGTTTTTTGCATAACATTATATATCAACTTTGTATAACAGAAATGTGTGAACATAAATTATTTCTAATATTTATCCTGAGTAATTACTGGCATATGGCCTTGGGTCTAAGGATAAAAATTGACTAACCCATGAACATATTTTTATTAGCACATCTTTCCTATAGGCAGTTCACAAGCTAACAAAATACGAACATTTGTATGGCATTTAAAATTGAGTTAGAGGTTTCTGTTTCATTCATTTATTATTTCCTCTCCATCTGCATAGAACTCTTTGTCATATAACCTTAAAGTTACTCAAATTAGGCAGGCATACTTGACTGCAAAAATAATTGTTTTTCCCCATGATCTAGATTGCTATGTAAAGTATAGTTGATCCTTGGAACAACCCAGGGGTTAGGTAGTCAAAAATCTGTGAATAACTTTCGACTCCCCAAAACCTTTATTAGTCTACTTTTGACTAAAGCCTTTTTGATAAACAGTAGATCAATTCATATTTTGTCAGTTTTACTTATTACATCCTGTATTCTTACAATAAAGTAAGCTACATAAAAATGTTATAAAAATTATAAGGAAGAGAAAATACATTTACTGTACATTACTCTATACCATATGCTTTGTCATTGATTTACAAGGTGAATTGTCTGTCACTACCTACATCAATATTGTCTTATATGATACAAAACACTGTGGTTGTTCCATGTATTACACTAGATATCAAAAATGAAAAGATAATGGGAAAAAGAAATTCATACTTACAGGTATAATAATTTATGCATTGATAACACAGAAGCAGCATTATGATTGCTTTATGGTAGCCAATATAATCTGTGTAATTACTTCACAGTAGTAAGTAAATCTCCAAAAAGGGTTCCAGCATATTTATTGAAAAAATACGCATCTGAGTGGACCTGCACAGTTGAAGTCCATATTTTTCATCGGTCAATTGACTAAATCTTACTATGCTCTGAATCTTGTTTTTTTAAAAAAGAAGCTTGCTAGGAATAAAGTAGTTTAAAATTTAAAAGTAAGAAAGACAAAGGAATCTATGTAAGTTTAAAGTTTTAAATTTATAGATGTCTAGTATGTTTGGTTTTATATAGTAATTATAAAATGTAAAACTTCACAGACTCGATTCCATTTATAGATTTTTCATAATTTTAGTAATTAACCTAGGCATAGTTATTTGATGGTTCCTAAATTATCTGACTGTAGTTGTCATTGTTTCAAATTAATTAATTTTAACCCTTAGATAACTTTACTAGAGCTCTGCTAAAGAATAGAAACATTCTGGTAGTTAAAGCATATACCATGATCAAGGATAGTGGACTTGATTAATCATGATTAATTAAAATCTAATTTTATAATGCTTAACAACTTTTAGAATAACTTTTTTTACATTTATTTATTTTAAGCCTGTTTATTCATGCAGACTTTTCAAAACTAAGTTGTCTTTCTCTTTTGTGTGAAGGCATTTATGTTTAATTGGTATATAATTAGACTAGAAGGACCTAGGGGATATAATTGCCATATTCTTTCTAAGTATTTTGCTTTTTGTAGTTTTCATCATTGTTTATAATATTCAAAGTTCTCTTCAGATTGAGTTTGATTTAGTAGATGTTTATATTAAACACCTATATTATGTAAGGTACTGCACTGCTTACTGGTGATTTCATTGAGGCTTAAATATGGCTCATGCTCTCTAGTTACATTCTAATAGAGCAAGGGAAGCATTACAATATCAAAACCATAAATCCAGGTAGAATGTGACAAATGCTAGGTTAAAACACAAAATACTATGGAAGCATATCTGCTCATAAAGTTAATTTTAGCTGAATAGACAGGAAGATCTTTTCAAAGGTGGCATTTGAACTGGACCTTGAAGATGATTAGGATTTTGATGGTTGAAAATATAGGAAAATAATGCTTCTGAAGAGGAAATTGTGAGCAGAACTTTGAGAAAGGAAAGCATGTTTGAAGGAAGTAGTCTGGTTCTTAAAATCAAATGATAAATGAAGAAAATTGATAAAATAGGTTAAAATCCAGATGGTTGGGATAATGACTACATGGAGGGCTTTGGCTAACATGTTGAGAGTTTAAAGTGTGTTACAGATACTGGGAAACCATCAGAAGATTTTGAGCGTAGGAATCATCAAGATTTTTTGGAAAGTTTTAAATAAAGCAGTAGTTTTAATGTTTTAAGTTCATAAATTCTTTTAAGAACTTTATGAAAACTGGACCTTATTTCCATTAATTGCACATGTGCTGTTATACACAAAATGTTGCATATGTATCTTCCTCTCCTTGCATTTAGGGATTCAGTATTTCATGGGTACTTGCAAATTTAGAGTGGAGAACTTTGCTCATATCTGCTAGCTTCGGTGGTGGAGAAAACTGTGATGGTGGAGAAAACTGTGAGCATGGAATGTTGAAAAGACTGTGCTTGATATTATAATAATAAAAAAAGGCAAGAAGATAGCATCTGACAAAAATGGTAGTGACTAAGCTGCCTGTCAGGTTCCAAACTGTATACCATCTCCATATTGAACCCTGGAAATTAAAGATTAGAGGTCATGATCTAGCTTGACTTTCTTGAGGGGAGTGAGGAATGGGGAACATTTATATGATTTCTTTTGGTGGGTGTGGAAGGGTGAAGTAATGTGGGATGTTACAGTATGTGTGGTATGTCACTATCATTCATTGAGGGTTTGAGGGTTAACTACTGATTGCAGTTGGTATCCTTTCTTTCTGCTCTCCCCCAGGATCATCATAACAGTTTTAAAATTTGCCCCTTCCACATTCCCAAATACCCCCCAGAGGTGGTGTATATTGTTTTGGTCAAAAGACCTGATTCAGAGAAAGTTCTAAATCTAGAACTTTGGGAATAAAATTTTTACTGTTACACATCTACACGTCACTCTATCAGAACATACTTACTGATGAAGAAAGAGAACCTCACTTAGATCTAATATATAAGTGAGAATTTCTTTTGAAGGTCTCTAATGAAGCAGAAATTTGAAAGCCTCTCTTGGTAATCATACAGGTTTACTCTGCTATCCAGAAGTAGAGCATTCTTGTGAAACCTTTTGGAAGCTGAAATGGCATAAAGCAAAGAAGCAGTTACCATTAATTTATATGAAAAATATTTTGAGCATTCCCAGTCCCCCTAAATAGTGTACCAAATCATACCAAGTACACTTATTTATGTAGAGTTTTATGCTAAACATTAACACCCTTATGAACTCTCTTAGACTTTTCCAATACTTTAGGAAATATCTTGCTAACAGGTGGGTGCACAGAATAAGTCAAGATAAAGCACAAATGGTAACATAACAATCTTAACTATGGCAACCTAATGCTGAGATAGTAAGTGTAGTTTCTGGGGAAGGAGCTTGGTGGCACTGCTTGGGGTGCATGCTACCTCTAGAAAAGATT